ATTTGTGGTGACTACCAGCGGTATTCCAGTTCTCGACATTGCCGTTGAATCGCTCTCCTCACTTCTCCGATATTCAGATCGTGGATTAATCTCGCACGCAGATTGTGTCGTCAAAAATACGACAGCCGGCTTGTCGGGGCGCTCGCAAAAAGGCGCCTTCGGATACGAAATTGCTTTCGTCTCGCGAAAGTCCCTTACATAGAGCTAACTAATCCGTGCCGACTTCTAAACGGTTGCCAATCATTTCCGGTTCTCGGATTAGTCGCGCGTCGAAAAGTCAGCGAGCTCCGTCCGTAAGAGCGTAAAACGGCCCGGTCCCTGGCAGGACCTTCCGGGCCGATACGAAGGTGACAACAATGTGAATCTGGGGATGAATGTTGGCTTCCTAAGCGGCTTACAAACGACTCGCACACGCGCCCAAGAAATGATATTCCGCGCTGAGAAAGATCGGTTTTTTCACGCCTTTCTCAACCAGCTAGAATGGAGTGCATTGATCCGATATTAAAACCGTACTAAAAGAAATGTGTATAAAAGAAGGTAGAGACTAAGGTACTTATTATACTCTGACATATATGCTTTATACTCGTGTGAATTTGATGCACGTTACAGTGACGCAATCGTTATTATTTTATTAAATTATATTTTTCAAAAAACATTGGAAATTTTAGCCTCTCAGATTTCTACTCTTCTATAATCTCTAATCTATTTATTCTTAAATATATTGCGATTGCATTATGTATGTACAGTATGTTTTCTAATTTAATCTTTTTGCAACGTTCATTTTTATTCTTTTCGTTCCAGAAATTGGAAAAGAAAAGAGATCACACGAACAGTGCAGAAATTTAACTGAAAAAAACATACTTGATTGTTAGCTTTCAATTTTTGTTAACACTCAGTATAAATAAATACTTTGCGCGTTATAATAAATACATAGATAATATTATAAATGACTAATGCTCGTTTCCATTAACGTAGATTAACTTTAATTTCAGTTCAACTTACTTTCAGTTCTAATATAATAATTTGAAAAAGAGCAGATTAAACCGAGATTATAATTAATCTACATTGATGAAAAGGGGCATAAAGCAATCGACAAAATACTACGTCCGAAAGGACAATTTCACCATGACATTGTGAAACACATACAACGATCTAGAAGCAGATCAAATTAAGCATATATTATTCACTTCCTCGCATGTGTTCCGCTTCACGATTAGATTAGTGTCGCTACCTTAAATTGCACTTCGCTGATAATTTCCCGCTCATCAGCCTGACGCAAACGAAACGCGTGTAATTGTCGCATAAGGACATAACCGGGATGATAATTAGGAGCTCGCGATCCTCCATAGCGAGAAGTAAACAGGTAACGAGCGATCAGCGGTGCGACGTATGATCGATGCGTGAATCCGTCAGCAATTACATCTGGCTGTTAGTCCGACGTTAATAATTTTCTAATCAACGCCGCGTGAAAGATCGATCGTATTTGTACCGTGACGAGCCGTGGCGTCGCACGGTCCCGCGCCGTTGCGCTATGGCGGAATGTAATAATCGAGACGGGAAATTGGAATGGTCGAACGACGGCTTTAACAGCCGGCGGGGGTTGGGGGTGGAAGGGAGGGTCACCCCGTAAAAAAAAAATCGCCTGGGCCAATCTACGTGAAAGCGTGCGGCGCGGCAATTATATCGGCGTTACTCCTCCTAATTGTCTTTCATTAATAATTCTGCGACCGCCGCGCGGACGGCGTACCACGGAAGGTAGATACGCTACTTACGCATTGACGATTATGGTACGAGACGATTATAGGCGCGAGACCGACCGCAACTGATAACGTCAATAACGAATGCGCGGACATTATTTCAAAAAAAAAAAAAAAGAAAAAAGAAAAAAGCGCCTTTTAATGCTCGGTTTGTGCTCCGTTATTCGTGAGAACGAGGTCTTTGCGATGACACGATATAGATTAGGACGTTGTTCGTTGTAAGGAGTTAGCTCGTGACTGCAATAAACAGCTTCATATATTCGTTTATTTATTCATAAACCTATAGCAGACTTCTTGATACTTGTAACGTATAGATATTACTAAAAATTGCAAATCATGTAACTAGATGACTTTCTACTGGATTTTATTATACTTCATGCCGTAAGTACATTATGATTCTTTTATCGATATTTGTTATAAAGTAATCATTATTTGCTATATGCAGTGTTGTATATATATATATATATATATATATATGGATTTATTATATATATCTATGAATTTGATTAAAGCTGAATGTAATGTATTAATAATATACTAGTACGTGTCAATAATTGATTAGCTCAGTTAATATCATTTTATTATACTTGAAGAATTATATGTCAACTACAAAAATTATTATTGTAAAAAACATGTAGGGTCAAGAGGATATAAAAAATGAACGTTATGTGAGAATGTTTGTTGTCATGTGATAATATTCACGTCGCATTATACGCATTTTGATCATCGTGACATGAAATGGTTACAAAATATTTGTTTTTACAGATCCCGCTGAATATATATAGAGAAAACGTTAATTTAGTATTATATAAAGATTTAATATGAGCTTTTTTTTATGTTTTGTCTGTTGAAGATGGAGGTTTTCAGTTATCTCGGAATGACGTTTTCTCTCCCAGCTAATACACCTCTGGTGATTTATCATATATTGAGTCCAAGTATAATAAAAACATAAGACAGCACGTGTACATAAGAACGCACGGACGTGTCGCACGACTCGAGCTCAACACGATTCTCAGCGGTGTAACCCTTATCGCGGGCACTTTTCCCTATATTCCCTCGTGTCACCGTAGCTAGGCAAGGACGACGATTATCGATTACCATGACGTGACTCTCGAGATTTCGAAACGTCGTGCCGGGGCTGGTCATTGGTCTTGTCCGTGAAACACTTAAGGGGAGTTATAAATAGCGACGCGGTGCAAGGTGCGAGCCGTCGTGGCGAGTCAATGTCGTGGAAAAATTGGCGCCTTAATAGCCCGCTGATGTTTTCACAAGGAAGGAGCGCCGGATTTAGTGCCGCGGAAGCAGTATTAGTGTTACCCGCCGTTGCCCGTCGCCGCTTCTAATCACATCGCCGTGCGTCGTCCGCGTAATTGTCGCTAATGCGCTTCTTTGAGGAAATAAGCCGATTACCGACAACAAACAGCCGCAGCTTTAGTCGTTGTAGCGAGTGGAGCTTCGTTGGAGCGTCTCGCGTTTAAAAACAAGCAGCCCGGAGAGAAAAGGAGGACGATCGGTCGGGAGAAGAAGCTGGCGAATTAACGGAAATCGTGCCGATACGCTCGGCACAGGTCACCTTAATAGCCCTCCTCCTCCCCCCCCCCTCTCTTCCGACGAGTTCCGAGAGAAAATGCGATCCACGGTTTCTGCGATCGCCGTGCGGTTTGTAGCGACGCGAATGCTTATTATCGCGGTAGAAATCGAGTAGCGAGTAACACTTTTCAAACAAGCATTATATCTACATTTATATACTCGCAACTTTGCGCGAGTCACGGAGTTAATAATTTGCACGCGTATACCCCGCGGGTTTTACAATTAGGATAATTAACGTGAAAGTTTCACCGTAATTAAAAATCGATTCTCTAACGTTTCACTCGCATCTCCGTTGTGCGTATGCGAGATATGAACTTTTGCGTAATACTGGTGGCTCGAATGTTACGAAATTCGGCGTTGCCCGATCAAAAAAGTTATGACAACTTAGCCCGAGGGATTGAACTCCGGAGGACAAAACGGAGCACAGGTAGAAGACGATGAATGAAATAAATGAGGGTAACATAATTAAAGCTTTCGAATGCCGAGCTCCAATTTAGAACCATTAGAATTCCTAAACGTTGTCGGTCGGTTGGGCACAGCAACCCACAGAGAGAGAGAGAGAGAGAGAGAGAGAGAGAAGCGGAGAAAAAAGATGTACGTTTATCTTAGGAGATGTATCTGATTCTCGAAAGAGAGGTGTTCTTTATGCGCGTAACTAGCGACGGCCATCGTGATCTCACCGATTGGAACATCCGGTCGGACCATGTCCCGTAAATGTCCTTGACACCTCCGAGAAAGTTCACGTGGACGATCAGGTGAATAAACGAAATCACAATACTTCCACGTTTCGTAACTTTAGATCGTTCGACTATTATACCTTTCGATTAAGTTGAAGTTTCGACTATTGATAGATAAAAAAACGACGCACATATTCCTTTTATATGTATATATGGCTCTGTTTATCTCTATTGTACATTTGAAAAATGCCTTAATTGTGCAGAGTAAATTATATATGCCATTTATATATATGGTAAATATACGTGTATAATGTGAAAAAGTAGAGCAAAACCAAGTATTATCTGCTTTTGAGAAAAAGAAATAATAAGACTAACAATAAAAAAACTTAATTATTTAGATTTAACAAAATTTGAAAGCAAATGAATGTTTCTAATTTTAATCTCTGAATTGATGAAGATATACAACTCTATACGATTCGTCTATCGTTATCCATTTTTCTACAGTATATCTGTCAAAAATCTAACTACCTCGCTACTCCGTTTTAATGACATGACTACGCCATATATTTCTTTTTTCTCTCTGTTTATAAGAGAAACTAAAAACTCTCATAAAAAATCAAATAAGAGGAGATTCTACTTATTCGAGTAAAGACGATCTTGATGCTTCATACGCAAAGTACAGATACACTTTTAATTAATGTTAATATATAAAAATTTCTAAACCGCGTGCTGGAGATATTATCACAAATACATTAATTGTCTTTAACGATAATAACGCTATAAAGCACTTTAAAACATTACAGAGACCGAACTAATTGCGAAAAATATCTTCTCAGTCAAGATTCGAACTTGGATCTCTTCCGTAGATGTATACTTAGATAAAGAAAGTCACGTCCTATTCTAATATCGGCTTCATCACGTCGTTATATCGAGCGACGAGCACTGTTTCGAAAGCGTGTAATAAAGTGTCATTTACCATTGGACGTAACGGAAGCGCCGTCGTGGTGGCTGGCGTCGCTGTCCTCGTCTAGATTGCTGTTGCTCAAGGACGTTCTGGATTGATGCCTGACACTGAGGTCTCGCGGTGTCGAGGGTGGACTTCCGGGTGGCTCCTGGCTGGGCAGCCCGGATGGGTGCATCTTGCTGGACGCGCCGCCTAAGATGTCGGTGATCATGAACCTCGATCTCTGCGGCATCGTCGTCGAGGCATCGCCCCTTTCCAAGCCGTTGTTATTATTCAAATTGTTACTCCGTGAGTCTATCCCGTTGGACAGACGTTCCACCGCCACGCCATTTCGATCGACAATGTTCTCAAGCCGATGTGCCTCCAGGCCTGACATCCTGCTGAGATTCAAACCGTTATTGGCCACGGCAACGCCACTGAGAGCGGCCACGTGGTGGTTCTGCTGATGATGGACCGTCATCACGGTAGACGCAGGTGGTTCCTTCGGGCTACGGGCACCTGCAGGTGCCTCTGTCGCCACCCCAGGACTCGCCCGGTACCTGGGAGACAGAATCTTGCCGACGGTGACGACGTAGCCTATCCCAGGAAGTGATCGTGCCCTCTCACTCTATTTCAACTGCACTTCACTGTATCCTTGGTTAGACCCAATTTCATTCACTCCTCTTCCCCTCTTGCGCGTACGATTGGCGCGTTGTTCGGCATTATTTGACGTTCAATCTCTTTCGCGATCGCGAAGGATCGATTTTCCAGCAAGTGGGTCAAGAAACCTCCTTCGTGACAAACATTCGTGTCGGGAACGTAAATATCCAGGGAGTCCCGATAAAGTTCGATCTTGAACGATTTGTGTTTGGCGTCGGGACTTTTAAATCGGCAAAATCCTGAAGACGAGATTCGATAGATAAATCGAGAGGAAAATCTTACAGAAAAATCTGGAACAAATGACGCGTAAGACAGATATTCGCGTCACAATGTGTATGCACCTTGCACACTTCCTCCCGCTCGCTCGATCGCTCCACCTCCGCTACCACCTTCTTCCCAGACGCAATTAAGGGACCGCTCGGCTCGGCTCCCTGGTTAATTGCTAATTGGCCACTTAACATAATTGCCGCGCATAAGAGCGGAGCCGCCGGCCATTTCCGCTTTTCTTTTTCTTCTGCTCGCTCGTCATCAATTATTAATTATTTTTATATAAGACTTTTGTGGCGCGTATTCTCCTCTCACTTTTGCACGATTCGGCGCGTGTATCTTGTCAACGAAAGTAAAAATAAGTTCGAGACCGCGTTTGCCAGCCAAATCGTTTAACCATGAAATAGATGCAATACTTAAAAAGAAAAATTTCTATAAACATTAGCACATCCTCCGCACTAGATCACAATTGTGTCCGATGATGAACGATCACGAGCAATCACTTCTATCAATCAGTCCAATCAGTCCAGCAACCATCACTCCGATTTCATCTATCTCGATCGTATCCTTTCGAGAATTTATGTTTAGCCGGCTTATCGCGCTCGCCCGTCACGGGTACCAGGATTGATCATCCTACGGCGAAACTCTCATTACCGATTTCAAACCGGCAATATTTACATTACAGTCCATCGACACTGTTCCCTCCTCTTTGGATTGCACTATCACCTGACTTTCCGTTCACGTTTCGTTGCGTTATTCGACCATCCGGGGATCACTTTATTAACAGAGGACCGAGTGAAACTTTGACAAATGTTTGCGAATTAAATATCCGTCGCGACGAAGATTTCTCGAACACCGTCGACACCTTCCGGTTGGCGAATCAGACAACGATATCACGAGCGTGCGATTCCGGGTTAAAGATCGACCTGATGCGAAGAAGATCGCTCCGATCGGCCAGTCCAGGACTGAGAACGTAGTCGTGCACGCGAAACGTGCATGTGCATCGAGTTGCCACGACTGGTCTGCCTGTACTGAGAACGGCAAGCACCTCCGCTCGTTGCTGGGCGGCCATATCGGGAGTCTGACACGCCTCCAGGTTGCCCTACCACTGATACCTCCAGGCCAATCCCGCTCGCTGCTGTTAAGCATCCCGCCAATCCCGACTGAAGCAACCTCGGCGCCTCCGCTATGTGCCACGGCTACGCCCAAGTAATTTGAAATGTGTTTCAGCGGTAATTCGATATAAAATTGTAGTTAATATCTTTCATTATAGTCCGGACGGGGGGAAAGGGGGCGCCCAAGCTCCTCGCGCGGAAGACGACGATGGTGGGAGGCATGGGAGCAGCGACAGGGGACTGTACGGGGAAAGGGGAGAGGCAGGGTGGAGCGGGCGGTGATACTAGCCTCCCACTTTCAGCTCGTTCTCCTCGAGATGGAACAGCGAAGCGGATCGTCGAGAGAACGACGGAGGGAGAGGGAAGGGAGAAGGAGAGGGTCCAGCGAGACCTGGCTGGAAGGGGTGAAGTGCCATCGAAACGGAGAAGGGTGGTCCCAGCTCCGCGAACTTACTCCGCGAATTTACGAATTCACGAGGACGAGCGGGCGAGCGAACGAGCGAACTTAGGAGTCCGGGTGAGCGAGCGTCGCGTTTTTTGCTACGTGAACTTTTATTTTTTTTGCGTCCCCCTGTCGTCGAAGCTCAAGAAAAGGCTCGTTAAGCATATCAAAGAAGCGCGTTGATTAACCTGGACTGTGTTACTGATATCGCAGAGTGACGTTGAGCGTTAAATTGTAAAATAATACAGCCGATTGGAATAGTAATGTTGATATATGTACATACCACATTATAAATGGTGAACCAAATTACGTAAATTATACTGGTAAGATGATGACTATTCCTGTAAAAGATATCGCGGAATCTTTAAAAGTGATGTGACTCATGCATCTCATTGCAATTATTGGTAATTTGTCATCGCGAATGAATTTATGTGATATACGTATAAATGTATGATGGGTGCATTTTTAAATCTTTTATAAAAACGAATTCGGATAAAAACGGACACGGTAATTGTTTAAAACCATCTCTCTGTTCGCAACTTACACGGAGAAAGGAATAAATATAAATTTGTGTATAAAAAGAACGTTTAATAATATTATTGTGATATTATTTGTATATAAATGATGCAATTAAGAACATCATCGTTTGTCAGTCTTTTTTCAAAATATTAAAGAATAACAATCAAATGCTTTTCAACCTCTGATTCACTTAAATTAATCCACTCCGATGAATATATATATATATATAAGTATATATAGATAGATATCTGACTCGAGTGTCCCAATAAAACACTATAAAAATATGAAATGCCTAGAAATGTCCGTGTGACACGAAAATACAATTCATGACAATTATACGAATATATTGGAGCAATTATTTTGACATTAGTAGAATCGAATCGAAATGGAATTAAATTCGGTAAAGTTGCAGGAATGATAGAAGTATAGAAATTAGGGATGTAACGTTATTTAATTATGAGGATCATGCTTATACACATAATATACGATCCCATAGGATGTATCATAAAACACGCAAACATAAAAAAATAATTACCCCTAAATAATAGACTGTTGAAAATCTTCCAACATTTTTCTTATTATTAATTAAATTACATAATTGAAATAAAATAAAATTGATTTAATACACAATAATTATTATAAACAATTGTTACTACATTGTTGTGTAACGTAAACACAAATTTGTGAATTTACAATTAAATGCTCGCACTTGTCTTTTCAATTTTATATTACATATACCATACATATAATCATGTATATATGTAACTTAATTTAAATTTGTTTAACTTACGTTAACTCTGTTTCGCTTTAATTTCGAATTATCGTATATCGATTCCATGACAATTTTACATCGGAAATAAAAAAATCGTTTCCGTAGAGTCGCGGTTTGTGGGACAGCTCATTTCTGTGAAAGAAATTAACGGAGCCTGTAATGCGATCGTCAAAGCGTGACTCAACACGAAAGCCGGTGACTCGTAAGAAAATGCGCGCGGCTAATTTTTTCACCTTTTATTTTACATACACCTTTACACGCGTTGCCCCCTTCGCGGGTAACGACGAACAAGCGTGTTCGTGTTACACGGGTCGCGCCTGAGAGGTGATGCGTTCGTACATACACGTCTCATTAATTAAACATGAGAATTAGCCACAAGTGTCGCACCCGCGGTGCAACGAAATGAAAAGTTAACGTCATTAAAGGGCACACTTATCGCTCTGTAATTGGCTCACTGAAGTTTCTATGAAAAGATACGAGGATGTAACACAAATGTGTAAGAAAACCCGACGCTAATTACCTCAAAAAGAAAAAACAACTTTTGTATTAATAGGTACATCTGCAACGGTTAAATATTCTTGACGTGAGCTTATGAATACATAACACGAAGTAAGGTCGATTTATGATAAAATTATGACAATCTTGATCGAAGGAATTAACATAAATATTAGCGTCGGATGCACGCAATTCTGAATTATGTATATGTCGAAACACAATCTCCTGCAATTCAGATTTATTATATGTTTATTTTTTCTTTTAAAAGAAGCGTAGCATAAAATCTTTTTTGAATTAAATGCAACTTATTAAAGCACAGGCTCACTTCTGCACAGAACGGATATTATTATCAATAATCTTTCTTATTTATTTTTTAATCACCAATACCACACAACATTTTTTTTTTATTTCTAAAAATGCATTTAGAAACAATGTTTCGTGCAAAATATTTTAGTTATAATATCTACGTCAGATGTATAAAATAGAGGAAAATATAAAATTGCGAGGCAAGATGATTTATACGGAATAATGTACCGTTTAATGAAAATGAGAAGTTAATGTCGTTGAAAGGCATCATTCCGACATTTCCGACCTCAGCCGGAAATCTCGAGGAAAATTTCTTTGAGGCTCTTTGACACTTTTTAACACGGAAAGCAGCCCGAAGACATTAATATGGATATATCGCTCTAATACCCGGACAAGTAATATCCACGTGTACGTCATTAAATTTACATGAGGATGTGACTTGAGTCTTGCGATCCGGTCAGGAACACGAAGTGAAAAGTTAAGAGCGTTAAAATGCTCCTATCAACGTGCCAATTAAGCCTCATAAATCCGAGACCTCTGGCTGGACCGTAATGACATTTTTCAGTCACTTTGAAACAATGTATAACTTAAGCTCAACATATTCAGGGAGAATTTCCGTAATCTAAACACTATCTTATTCATTTTTCCCTCATTTTCAAAGCTTTATTAAATTCTTACAGTAAATTATGCCTTTTTCATTAAAAATAATCACGCCATTTAATATTTTTGCAATTATTTTATTATACATATAGGTATTATGTATTCGATATTAAAGTAGATATAATTTTTAGTTAATTGGTTTTTTTATGCTTTTTTAATATAAGAAGTCGACCTTGCGGATATTTATTCTAATTTCAAGTTTAACTATACATTTTCGCTGAAAAAAACCAATTAATTAAAAATAT